ACCTATGTACAGATGATGGAACAAAATAGAGTAATAATTCCTTGGGAATAATGAACCCAAACGAGCGAAAATTGCTAGGATTAATAGCACCTACTTTATCCGTTGTAGCGGTTCGAAGAAATGTTACTCCCAAAATTGGGACTCGATCCACACACCCATTGCCTGATGGGTGATGAAGCGATGGCACGGCGATCCTGGCAAAGGTTGGCTCGCCACGGCGAAGCCCGTGGTCCAGCTAATGTGATGAAGCTGGTCGGCTAGTGACGCCGAAGTCTCTGGAGTAAGTTGATGAAGGGATGACGAAGCCCCCAGTCCAGGCGAGGAGACGGAGCAGGTCGGTGAGGAGATGTGTCAGCCGAGGTGTTGAAGTAGTTCGGCGTGATGGACATCGGCTCGATGAAGCAACAGTTCGGCCATGCCGATGCAGGTCGTAGCGTGTGACGTGATCAATGCTGGCTCGATGAAGTGACCGTGCGGCGATGCCGGTGTGCCCGCTCCGTGTAATCCGTGGGGCGACGATGTTGGTGACGATTTATCCTTCGCGATGCCGAACTATTATTCGGCTGGTCGAGATGATGATCCGAAGAAGTTGAGCTTGGCTCAACAAAGCGACGACGTGTCTAGTGCAGGTCGGCCGCCGTGGAGTGATGTTGTCGGGCCGGTTTGACACCGGCACGATGGTGAAAATCGTATTGTAAAAATACTTTTAATATTAACGAGATGTGTCTGAGAATAAAACACAATACCCCATATGAAAACGTCCTTCAAAAAGGATGTCCGAAATCCCGTTCATAAAGAAGATGAACTTGGGTCGGATTCGTTCTCGCGCAGAAAATAGATTCGAAAAGTGATGCACTAATCGGAAGGTTTCCGGAGTTCGGACGGTCGGATCGAGCTGAATGTTTGGCAGGTGGTAGATATGGGAATTCTGCAGCTGATCAGCGGTTGGATCTTCCAAAGGACGTCCGAGCTAGATGCTGGACACCCCGCTCCAAACTCGTCCGGATTCTCGTCAAGATTCAACAGGGCTCCGGTATATCGGAGATTGCCGGAGATTCCTCCATCGGAACTTGATGAAATTTTTGCAGGGTTGTTGTAGACTTAATTCCGCATAATTCCATCGAAGCAATCGTTTAGGCGACACTCGAGGAGGCGGTGGCGGCGGATACAAGTTTGCTGTCCAGAAAAACAGCACGGTCGCTTGAGGGCAATGTTGACATTGAGCCCCCGAGCACCATGGATGACTCCTCCATGATCTTGATAGAGATCGGAGTTGATGTTGATGAAGGCCCTCATCCGAACGTGACGATCGGAGGTAGGGCGCAGTCCTCGGTCAAGCCAAGGTGACCAGTCGAGCTGGTGACGAAGAAGCCGACGCCGCAGTTGACGACCTGCAGTTGAGCCATTGATCCTTTTGCCGATCACATAGAGGAACTCTCAATGAAAGCACCAATGTCGGTGTCAAAACCGGCGGATCTCAGGTAGGGGGTCCCAAGCTGTGCGTCTTAGGATCAATGGTAACATGAACATGGGATTTTACCCAGCTTCGGGCTCTCTTGATGAGATAATACCCTACATGCTGCTTGATTGACTATAATGAGTATAGGGGTTACAAGAGTTGATCTACCCTGAGATCATATGTTGTGGTCTAAACCCTAGAGGTATGATGAGTAATGTCATAATAATCTATCAACTATCCTAGCCTCGGTTTATATAATGTACCATAGGCCTAGGGTAACAAGAGTCCTAGCCGAATACGCCGGTGGGGGAGGAGTCCTTGTCTTGATCACCAAGTCTTGTGGAATCTTCCTTGTATGCGGCAACTGTCCGAACTGGCCCATGAGTATACAGCCATGGGGGTCCTCGGCCCAATCTAACTGATCGGGGGACGACGTGGTGAATACCCCCTAGTCCAGGACACCGTCAGTGGCGCAGGGCAGCGGCCTCCTAGACATTGGTGGAAGACCGGCGAGCTCCTAGATGCTGGTAGCGCGAGGCGGAGGCCTCTTTCGGCGCCATGGAGGAGGAGAGGGCGTATGGGCAAGAGGTCCATGTGAGAGCGCATGGTAAGAGAAAGGAGAGAGTGGCGGATGAGAGGAGGGATTTGGGGGAGGAGATGGGGATTCGGCCGAGGATATGGGGACTTCACCTACCTCGTACTTAGTAGTAGCGAGGGGTATAAAACCCGCTACTACTATCAACTTAGTAGTAGTGCGGGTTTATACCCCTCGCTACTACTATGGCATGTCTCGGGGGGCATGGTAGAGACTGCTTAGTAGTAGCAAGGGTTAAAAACCCGCGCTACTACTATCAACTTAGTAGTAGCGAGGGGTAAAAACCTGCGCTACTAGTAAGTAGAAGTAGTGAGGGGTATAAACCCTCGCTACTAGTAAGCGTCTGCCTATAAGCTTTTCCCTAGTAGTGAAGGGTGTGGCGGGGCGGCCGGGGTGGTGGAGCGAACGCGGAGGCAAGAGAAAAAAAGGATGCAGAGAAAGATGGGAAGATGGACGCGTGAGGTCTGGGAGGGGTTTTGGGTGGGCTGAGGATATCGGAGTTCTATGTTGCTCATGTTCGGACTCTCGCAAAGCCCTCCCCCCCCCCAAGTTTATTTCGACTTTGCAGGAAAAAGTCTGTCCGGACCGGTTGGCGGGCCGATACAGGTTCGTGTTGGATGGCTAAACGCGTCCGGTCCCGACATTTGTGGGCAGTTTGAGGGTCCGATTTCAAGATGCTCTGACATCTCCAATGCTGACTTGCAAACTGGACACCGCATCCGTCCATGATAGGGGGGAAGTCCATGGACATGGAAACGGGGGGCGGCCATCCAAAGCTAGCCACCTACATAACTTTCTTAAATCTGCATACATCTGCACGCTGAATATAGCCACATATCTAGTTTTAGTTTAGTTAAAAATGTTCAAATGCAGCAGTAGTTCCAATTTAAATATTACTCCCCTTTACCCGCCCACAAATGCTTAATTAGATCTTCCTTTAGTTGCTCGATGCCGAATTTAAATATTACTCTGTAACATCGTTGTCCCCTTTGCTCATAAAATGTGGTCGGATTCTGGTCTTAAAGTTTCATAGGATCACCCATGTTCTCAAATTCAAGACCTTTTGCAACATCTTCACCCTCATCCTCGATGATCATGTTGTGTCTGATCACACAACATATCATCACCTCCCACAAAGGTCTTCGGATCCCATTGTTTAGCAGCTCCACAAACAACTACAAACCGTGCATGCCAAAGTCAAAGATCCTATGATGCAACAGCTTCAAGAATGATAGTGGGCTTCTTAACAATGACCCTTATATTGCCTTGTAGAGCTTTTGTGTAGTTCTTCCATATCCAATGCATGCTGCAAGAGATCCGAGAAGCCTGGTCATCCTCTTGCTTCAGACTTGCCAAGATCCTCTTGGTGTCTGCCATAGTTGGTTCTCTTAGGTACTGATGTCCAAACATCATGACCAAGACAATAGCAAATCTTACCATGGCATTTCTGGATGTGCTCTCAGACATCCATAGGTATTTGTCCCACGAATCAGCGGCCATGCCATATGCAAGCATCCGCAATGCAGCCGTGCACTTTCGGTAACAAGAGAACCCAATCCTTCCCATGCATCCTTCTTCAAGATGAAGTAGTCATCAAAGGAATGAACGCCATGGTAGAGATGAACGAAGACATTTTTTCGAACCTGAAAGCAGCGGCAAAAATTGTCAACGAATAGGGCATCCAGGGCAAAGTAGTCGTCCATCGGCGTCAAGGCCGTGCGCCCTGTTCCGATTGAGCACTCAATGACCCTATCCCTTAAAATTGAGAACGTGCTTTTCGCACCGGTCATGAAGTGAATTGCCATAGCATATAGATTTTTGAATTATCTGAACACATTTTTTTAATACCTGAACAATTTTTGAAAAAAAAATGTGATCAAAGTTTGAAATTGCAAAACCACTCTTGAAAAAGACAACCAAACTTTAGAATTCCAATTTTTTGGTCAAAAATTGTGTTATTTTTTAAAACAAGTGCACATTTTTTAAACATGAAATTTTAAAAACTCCACATTTTTTAAAAGAATTTTAAAAAAAGAACAAAAAATTAAACATGGACATTTTAAATTCAAATATTTTTGGAAATTATGGACCAAAAATTGAAAATTCAAGCATTTTTTAAAATTCCCATTTTAAGAAAAAATTGATTTTTTTTAAAGTAAACAATTTTGAAGTGCTGAAAAATTATAAATGGATTCTTGATTTTTTAAGTTGTGAACATTGTTTTGTCATGTTCGAATAAATTTTAAATATTTTAACATTTTTCTTAAAATGGAACATACATTTTCTAAAAACACATTTTAAAATTTGAAAGAAGGGAACAATTTTTGAATATCTGAACATTTTTTAAAATTTAATTTATATATTAGTAAAATATAAACTAAAATTTAAAAAGAAACTAAAAAAGGGAAAGAATAAGAAAAGGACCACGATATCCAGCGAATGTTTAATGGGAGGGGTTGGTATTGGCAAACGTTTTAGATAATTTTTTGGGGGGGAATCACACTCACTTTATTGCTCTATAGAAAGTTGTAATGGGGCTACATTCATCTGAGCCCGGGCTCCGAAACAAAAATATTCGTTACATTTGGGTCATGTGGGTTTGTAAATGAAATATGACGACCCTGGGGCAAAAAAATAATCTACACATACCGGCATCCTCGGCCCATTAGCCAGCCAACTCCGCCGCGCAATGGCGAAGAAAAAGGCGGGAATCACACAGTAGATCAAAGCAGAGCCAGCCAACTCCAAGCGGAATCGCCTCCCACGCTTTGCTTTCCGCAAAGGCCAATCAGCTCCACCACCACCACCGTCCCCGGCCGCTCCCCGTGCCCCACCGTCAACTCCACCACCACCGTACGTCCCCCGTACTATATAACGCGAGCACCCTCGTCCAGACCCCTTCAGTCCCCTCCCCTGCCTGCCTTCGATCCTCACCAGCCAGCACCGATGCCGCGGCGAGCGATCGAGGTCCGGGCCGACGGCGCGGCGCCCAAGTGGTGCATGTCGCTGCTGGAGAACACCTTCACGGCGTTCCTCAAGTCCCCCGGCGCCGACGCCGACGCCAAGGCCGTGTTCGCCGAGGGGTCCCTGTTCAGCCCCTACCTCTTCGGCAAGTTCTTCGACCCGGCCGACGCGTTCCCCATGTGGGAGTTCGAGTCGGACGTGCTGCTCGCCGCGCTCCGCCGCGGCGCCAGGACCACCGTCGACTGGGCCGAGAACGACTGCGAGTACTGCCTCAGAGCCGACATACCAGGTACGTGCCCCGTACGCACACAGCTCGCTCGCTCGATCGATCAATTGATTCTAGTATCATCACGTTCTTCTAGTATCATCACTACAGCATAAAAGATGCTTGTTGAGGCTTCACAATACAAGATCGGCTGTGTTCGTCTGTTGTTGAAGATGACTTAACTTGAGTAACAAAAGTACAGTAGTACATATGATCAGATTTTCGTTCAAGCATCAAACTGAAACCTCTGTCCCAACTCCCAAGTGACAAAAGTACCATAGTTTTAGCATAGATTCGCCGTAGTAGAAATGCATGCATGATGTGGCCTCTCTGTACCAAGTTCAGTGCAGCGTTCTCTGTACCAAGCTGCATCGATTCTCTCGGAATATATCGATGAGCAGATGTGTAGATGAACCAGGATAGTAGTTACCGTGCTCCTCTACCACACGACTTGTGTAGGAATCCAACACCTTTGCATTTCGCCACATATGTTAAGATGTTCTTACAAGATTGCAACTTGCTAGCTATCCATCTAGAGGGGCGTTGTGCTCGTGTGTGCTTTCCGCGTTGCTATCCCTTTGCTTTTGCCGCAGCACTATGGTCATGGTCACGTGCAGCCTTCTGTCGCCGTCGCTTTTCTTGGCAAATTATTCGTTGCGTCTGCGTGTGGCGCACCACTTTGATCCAGACCAGTCTAGTGCCGCTTGCTTGCGGAAAAGAGAGCGGTAGATTGTGCCACACGATTGCCAAAACCAACAAAGCCAAGCACACTTGCACCGCGTTATCATATCGTATTGTACACATGGTACTTGTGCAGCATCGACCTAGCACTGAGTTTTGTCATCTTTGACATGATCATCAGGTGGAAGAAAGTGCGACGTGGAGGTAAGCGGCGACGGCGCAAAGGTGGTGGACGTGAGCGGGCTATGGCGGGCGCCGCCGGCGGACGGCCGGGACTGGCGCGCCGGCCGGTGGTGGGAGCACGGCTTCGTGCGGCGCGTGGAGCTGCCGGAGGACGCCGACGGGGGCAGGGTGGAGGCCTACTTCGACGACGGTGCTGGGTCGCTGGAGATCAAGGTCCCCAAGAGGAGCAGCGACGCGCACCAACAAGCCTGAGAGAATCGGAACCTCTCGACGCCCGCAACTGGATTGGATCAGATTAACTGGAGGACCGCCTCATTTGCCGGTGAAAGGCAATTATTCTCCTTCTGATGTGATGATGAGCAGTTGATGGCGACTCAAAAGACCGCGTAATCTCTGTAGAAATTCGGAAAGATATGGCTGAGACGAAAAGCAGCGAGGATTACCTACCTATCTATCCATTGCATGATGTTGCAAATCCAATGTAGTAGTAAAATATGTTCTTCAGTTCCACTGTTACCAAATGACTAATTAATCAGCAGTGCCGCTGTCAGTTTCGGTCGTCGATCGAATGGGCTAGGGCATCGATATGATTCTAGATTAGAGGAATATATAGACAATGCGCGACTTTTGAAAGGTTGATTCTCTCATTTCTTTCGGCACGATGCATCTCCATCAGTCGTCACTCATCACCCCTGCCCCTTTATCCCCACTGGGCACATGAGCATCAGAGCTGTGACGAAAGCTGGGGTTGGCTCTTTGAGATCCTCAGGTGATTATTCTGCAGAGAGGCACGTTGCCCAGATGATATTCCATGGTTTCAGACCATGATTTTGCTTTAAATTTGTTGTAAGAAAGGCCCTGTTTTTTTCTCGAGGATACTAATGAGACCGGTGCATCATTATTTTTGACAAGAAAAATTATAACTCGGTCCCTCAACTATCACAAAGTCCAAATTTGGTCCCTCAACTATAATCATAGAGGGATTAGTTGCATGGAAAAATGTTTGCAAACCAAGATAATATAATGGTTTAGGCATTAAGGATATTCATACACAGAATATTTAGAGGGTGCTTGGATACGTTTTAGTCCCATGACTAAAAATAGTGGGACTAAAACTTGCTAGCCTCACCCATGCTTGGATCCAAATACTAAAAAGACTAAAATCAAGTTATTGAGCATTTATTATCCTCCAAACCCTCCAATCCAGAATTCGCATGTGTTAAAGGAGAGGAATTAAATGAGGAGAGAGAGGGCTAATACATATTTTAGTAGGTTTCCTATGACTAAAAAAATTTAGCCTCAAGACTAGTCCTAGCCTCTTTTTAGTCAGGGATGCTTGGAACTTTAGCCTTTAAAAGAGACTATTTTCAGTCAGACTAAAAATAGTCCCTTGGATCCAGGCACCCTCTATCAGCCATGAAATTTGCAGTTAAGGTACTTCTTCCTGTCACACACAAGAACATTATGGATGGCTTCACTATTTGGTCTCATCGTTTTGGGAAACACTTTTGCTTCGGTACACCCCCTAACACATTGACGGCTGAGATCTCTCCATACACCTTCATAATAAAAGGTAGGATGGTATTTTTCATTCGCGCCGATACGCGGTCTGCATACATATACACGGCGCCTTTTTTTTCCTTGCGACACCTTCCCGAACTGAGACGGAACCTTCCGCCCAACCCGAACTTTTTTCCACTTAAATTCATGAACATTTCCTTAAATATGCAAACTTTGTTTTCAAATTCACGAACCTTTTTCCCTATCTAGGAACTCTGTACTTTTTTCTATTCTATTTTTCCTGTTTTGTTCATTTTTACTCATTGTAAAACCTGTTTTAAAATTTGAATTTTTTTGGAATACCAGAAAATATTTTATTTCCAATTTTTTTTACAAGTTATGAAAATTTTGGATTTCAAAAAATATTCTCACTTTTGATTTTTTTAAAAAGTTAAATTTTTTTCTTGTTTTAAAAATGTTGATAAATTTTTAAGAAGTACGTGGTTTGCAATTTGTGCACAATATTTGGGAATTTATTAAATTTTTTGGAAAAAGTGTTCATGCATATAAAAATTCATACACAATTTGAAATTCCAAAATTGTTCACAAATTTTAAGAAATAATTAAGATATAAAAAAATGTTCATGTTGAATTATAATGATAGAAATTGCTAATAACAAAAGCCTTGCCCTACCGGCTTACCTGAACCACCAGCTTTGAACATGATGCGCTTCTTGCCATGCATGAAATGACATCAAATCTTGCCAGCATGTGGGAATGCTCATGGCAGGCCTCCTTGCAAAATTTGAAGGAATTTAGACACCGAACGCACGTTGTGTCACATTCGACTAGTGTTTTAGGTTTTTTTCACCAGGAGAACCCTTGAAAATGCATAAAATGTGAGAAGTCAATGACATTTATCATGGATGCTTGGTATGGTGATGCTAATGTGCAAAAAACATTTGGGTCCATTCTATTGATGTGAAAAACGTGCATCCAGACTTGCCCTACCGGCCAACCCGAACCACGACCATTGAACATGGTGTGCTTCTTGCCATGCATGAAATGACACCAAATTTTGTCAGCATGTGGGCGTGCTCATGGCAGGCCTCCATGCAAAATTTAAAGGAATTCGGACACCGAACGCACGTTGTGTCACATTCAGAGAGTGTTTAGGGTTTTTTTCACTAGAAAAACCCTTGAAAATGCATAAAATGTCAGACCTCAATGAAATTTATCATGGATGCTTGGTATGGTGATGCTAGTGTATGGGAAAAAATTGGGTCCATTTTATTGATGTGAAAAAGTGCTTCAGACTTTCCCTACCGGTCAATTCGAGCCACCATCTTTGAACATGATGTGCTACTTGCCATGCATGAAATGAGATCAATTTTTTTCAACATGTGGGCATGCTCATGACAGGCCTCCATGCAAAATTTGAAGGAATTCGGGCACCGAACGCATGTTGCATCATGTTTGGCTAGTGTTTTAGGGGTTTTTTCACCAGGAAAACCCTAGAAAATGCATAAAATGTCAAAACTCAACGAAAAATTTCATGGAATCTTGGCATGTGATACTAGTGTGTGCAAAAAATTTGGGTCCATTTTAGTGGTGTGAAAAAAATGCATCCAGACTTCCCTACCGGCCTACCCGAACCACTAGCTTTGAATATGATGTGCTTCTTGCCATGCATGAAATGACAACAAATTTTGCCAACATGTGGGCATGCTCATGGTAGGCCTCCATACAAAATTTGAATGAATTCAAACACCGAACACACATTGCGTTACGTTCGGCTTGAGTTTTAGGGGTTTTCATCAGGAAAACCCTAGAAAATGCATAAAATATCAAAACTCAATGAAAATTTTCATGGATTCTTGACATGGTGATGCTAGTGCGTGGAAAAAATCTGGGTCCATTTTATTCTTGTGGAAAAATAAGTGCATCCAGACTTACCCTACCGGCCTACCCGGACCACCACCTTCGAACATGGTTTGCTTCATGTCATGTATGAAATGGCACCAAATTTTGGCAGCATGTACGCATACTCATGGAATACCTCCATGCAAAATTTGAACGAATTCCGACACCAAACGGAAGTTGCGTCACGTTCGGCTAGTGTTTTATGTTTTTTTCACCGGAAAAGCCCTAGAAAATGCATAAAATGTCAGAACTCAATGAAATTTATCATGGATGTTTGGCATGGTGATGCTAGTGTGTGGAATTTTTTTGGTCCATTGTATTGATGTGAGCATTTTTATAAAAAGAAAAATAACAGAAAAGGAAAAAAGAGAAACAACATGAATGAAAAAGAAACAAAAAACGAACAATAAACCGGTCGCTGATTGATTTATTGTTATTTTTCTATTAATACATGTTTAGTAATATTAAAAGTGTTTGCTTTTTTTATGAGAGCATGTTTCTATTTAAACGAACAATAAACAAACATTTTTGTTTGAACGAACATTTTTTTTATTTAGTAGAGCTTTAGAAATTTAATGATATTGATGTGAGCATTTTTCTATTTAAATGAACAATTTTTTGACATATATGTAAAAAAATAAAATATGTGAATATTTTTTACTTTATGAAAAAAAAATTAAAAGTGAAGATTTTTGAAATTTTGAACACAATTTAATAAATGTGAGCATTTTTTTGAAAAAGAGAAACGAAAAAAGAAAAAAAAATCTGATTCCAGCCGCGAACTAAAGTAGAAGATAACAAAAGAAAGAAGTAAATACGCACAATCATTAGGATGTCCTAGTTAGTTAGTGTACGATGCCTCGTATGTGTCACATATGCAGATGGGTATACCGTTTGAAATGATCACACTGCCCTTATACGGTTTGTGGAGGGGGGGTTACCGCAGCAGGTTGCTAATTAAAATCATGATGTTCTGTTTGTCGTTAATTAGGTGGTTGTTTTTTTACTTAAAGTCCAATTGATTAATTTGATATCCCTAGTTCTTCCTAGTAGAATCATACTTTTGGTTTACCCTTGTCCATACTTTTAGTATCATCTCTTCCAGGTCAAACTCAACTAACTTGCGAAATCACACACAAACATACAACCGTTAGTCAAGGTTGTCGGTAATTTCAGTTTGACACCTAAGCCAACTATGATGTTAGCCATCTGATCTAATCTTGACTATTCATGAATCTCAAACGGAGACATCTGATGGTTCAGCTTGTCGACTTAGGCATAAGAATACCTCAGATGACTTTGATTTAAAAATATGTGTCAGTTTTCAATTATCCAAGAAAACCATTTGCATTTATTTGAAACTCAACCAAAGTTTGCGAAATCTGATTAAAATATGAAATTGTTTGCAATGGGAACACACAATAAATATTGCCGCTGTTCGTAAATACATGAATTCCACATAGCATGCTGTCAGATTTTCTACCTTTGCCTACTTAACATGTAAGGACAGACCCATTGCTAGATTCTCCCACATTACGTGGGGTCTGGGGTAGGATTATACAAGGCAAACCTTACTCCTGTGCAGTGCAATGTAGAGAGGGTGCGTCGAAATCAGGACCTCTTGGCACAAGTGGGGAGTCCTTCACCACTGCGCCAGGAAAATATTCCTCACAAATCTAATATTTTTCTACTTGAATACTGGCACAAACATTAAGAGCATTGTCTAAAATGCTACTCCCTCCTTCCCAAAATATAAGGCGCATTTTGGCTTTTCTGGTCTTCGTTGCACAACTTTGACTATGATTTTCTTGTATTGTATGTCTATAAAA